ACAGTGACTTCGACGAAAACATCGTTATCAGCTTTTGATGACAAACGCTACATCCTCGATGATGGTCAGCAGACTCTTCCCTACGGTCACAAAAACATCGTGGGTCAAACTGTGATTGGCATTGATGATAGTGATGACAATACAGCCGCTGTTAATTCTGACCCAACTGACAATGACGATTTGGAAAACTGGATGCCATTTTTTGAAGATCGTCAACAGCCAGTGTCGTGGGATTGTGACGATTTCCTAGATGGGGTGTCTGAAGAATTCGCTAACACTCAAAACGTTGATTGGGACCATCCGGAAATTGATGATGAATACTCTGAGGATAGTTTTGCTGTTGAGAACACACAACCACATCGCTCGCTTCGACAACTGATGGACCAGGTCAATAGCAGTTGGCAAACTCCAGACCCCGGTCTGATTCGGGCAGCAGAAACCAACGACAGTGATATTGATAGCGGGGATATCGCGGATCTGGAGGCCAATACTTCCGATGAGGACGAGTCGTCATTCTTCAACGGTTCGTTTTTCGATTATGAAGCAGTTGAAGTAGAAGAACCACGGTCAAAAAATCGACGAATAGATTAAAACACAAAAAAACACCACATTAATTTTTGTATAGTAAATAAAATTCAGTTATTTAATATGAGAATTGTCTGTACAAAAAATTTGACCTACCGCTATTCCGTGTTTAGTGTGTATTTAAGTGCGAGATTTTGTTCAGCTTTGGAACTCAATTAATCTGGGATATAAACAATTTCATTTAAGCGATAATGTCTTTAGCATACTTTTGTATGTATTTGTATGTAATATGAGTTTGAATCAAAGTTTTAAGAAGAATTGAGCAAACAGTCTATAGCGCAGTTAAACACTCCAGCTGGTTTCAGAATGAAGATTTGGCAAATCCTTTCCCGCATCAAACATGTAACCACAACGTTCAGTGGGAATACTCAATAATATACCGAAGTTTTACATGAGGACTATTAGGTATAAAATTATACATGGTGACAATTAGGATTATTACATAGTGACCATTGCTGATCATTTAAAACATGGTGACCATTATGATTTATACCTAATGGTCATCCATGTATGAAACCCCCCCCCCCCCCCCCCCGATCCTAACGCACTATATGCATAATACTCATAGAACTTAAAAAGCTATGGTAAACTGCACATATGGGTCAATGAAACATAAAAAACAATCACATGATACTCCAAAATAAAATTTTACTTAATAAGTGTACAGAAACGAAGTGATGCTTCGCGTCACTTGCGATGCCTTGCTTCACTTGCGATGCCGTAATATTATTTCAAAACGAGTAGATCAAAAAGTTGATATCAATGTAGAATTTTTTCTCTAAACAGATTTCGGGAACAAGAATTATTGCATGAAGTTCACACTAACTTCATCCTCATGTCTGAGCCTACCTGCAATGCATTAAATGAGATTCCTAATTAATTTAGTTATTTAATTTCACTGGCCGATCAGCCTATAAGTTGCAGCAATTTATCATCTAACCGTTAAAACATGACAACAAAAGTAAGTTTTTAAAATTTTTGATAAACATTTTAAAAAGTACTATATCTCAATGGCGAAAATAAGAGTTCGCAGTTAAAGCTCGGATGGACAAAAAAGGGAAATTAAAGCCAACCGAGTTTTGGAAGATTGTCAAACAACGCAAGGAAAACGAAAACGATTTGTACTTTTTTCGACAAAAAATAGATGATCTTGAAGCTGTTTGAATTCCAAGAACCAACTGTGATCGACTTATTTTGGATTGAAATTTTTGATTGAAAACTGAATCAGAAGTAAAGATCTGAAACGATTAGACCCGTTTTGCGAAACTTGAAAACTGAAACCTAGCATTTCGAAGCTAGAATTTATTCACGTTTCTGCGTCATTTTTGCTTTCTCAATCGAAGCGTGCCATTTCGCGTCTTCTAACAGATGAGTTGAATTAATTTTTAGAAAAATCTTAGTTCAAACCGCAAATTATCATATTTGATATGAAAAATTTTGTCTATAATTTTAAAATCAAACTGAGATTCATTAAAGTTATTATACGTGTCTTCAAAAAGCTCTTTTTAACAGTCAGCAATCGTAACAAATATTTGACAATGTTGGCTTCGGTAAACTATTCAAACCTGGCAATATTTTGGCATTGTAACAAGTCAACATAAAAACTTCTTAAGCATGTGTCAACTAAAACGCCAATTAAGTTAAGTATAATTAGATAGATGTTTAACCTATCATTATTAACAACTTTCTTTTGCTTGAAACTTTTTTGCGGATCGAAGAATAAATCAGGCAATTCGGTTTTTCAGCATTTTCACAGCGTCATTTTTGTAAGTTCTTCTGCAGAGTCCTAATTTTGATGGAGCTGATTTATAAAAGAAACTTCCTCCGTTTGCAAGCGCAACAAGCATAAACGCATGCTTGGCACGAAACAAGAAGCACAGATTTTTCTGACAACAAAATATTGCAACTAATGATTTTAAAAGCAAAATAATTTGAATTTGAGGTAATTTTTTGCAAGAGCCTAGTGCAGAGCAGACGTTGCAACTAAATTTTATTATATAGACCTAATAACCTAAGTATCGCAGAAGCGAAACTACACTTCGCAAACAAGCGAGCAAAGGGCAAAAAAGTAGCCCAAAAACGCTCACAAGGAAAGAAAAAATACAACTAATAAAAACTCTGCAATGTTCTAGAACCGAACTTACAACCTCTCGACTGAAAATAACACGTCGTAGCTCCTGTGCCATGTCTGCTTAGCAGTACTTAAACACTAGCAGCCCAGCTGAAGATGAAGTACCTGTTTGATAATACTTTTAAGAAATGTATTGATGCACAAGCTAATGCGTAGTTTTCGAGTGTCAAAAACTGAACATTACTATGTCCAAAGCTAATTTCTACCAAAATAACTACGGAAAACCAGCATTGACAGGGGAGGTTACATCTCCGGAAGACTTTCTATTCAGAATTGGCATGGTCGTTTTTGGGAAATTGAAAAAATCCAAGAATAGATCAAATATATCTTCACTCCATAGCGGATTTCTTAACAAAATCGAAAAAACTTGCTTATTCAGGCAATAACTTTACTGCTGTTCTTTTGATTGAACCCTCAATCTCAGATTTGGCCTCATGGTTTACGAGCAAATCAAAATTTCCCACTCGAACAGAAAATTGTGAAGTCCAACATTGCTTTCCTATAAAATTCCTATAAAATTTAGTGCGTAGCCATTATGAGAAAATTCCTAAGGAACGTTTTTAACTCTTTAGCTTAGATTTGGCAGTGCAGATTTCAAGAAAAGTAAAAAAATGGTTAACATTTTGGAACAGACTTTTTCTTAAATTAACATTGCTTTTCTACAAAAACTAGGACGTTGCCGCTATGCAGAGAAATTTCCTAGCACTTTTTTTCGTCTGAATCCCTTTTGCTAGATGTTGCAGGGTAGTTTTGGATCAAAAGCGTCGAACTGTCTAATTAAAAAAAATAGAGCCAACTAACAGCGACGCCCTAAACTGAAACAGAAAATTATTGCGTCGCTGTTTTGTGCTGTGAGAAAATTCCTTCTGTTTTTTCCATTAAAGCTTTCATCTCAGATTTGGTTGGGTATTTTCCGAGAAAATGTCAAAAGAGAACGAGCTAAATTTCAAAAGTTGCATATTTTGGAAGGCGATAATTTTTTTTCATCGAAAATTTAGGACGACACCAGTTGTGCGGCAAAAGGTCACAAAATCGAATCATTCGATAAAAGCCTGAATCTTAGATTTGGCAGCGTTATTTCGGAGAAAAGGAAACAAACTTTTAAAAAACGATCAAAATTTAAACCTTTTTATGGCCAAAATTCTTTTTCGACCAAATTAAGGGCGTAGCACCTTATGCACAGGTGATTCCCAGCACGCGCTTTTCTGATTGAATGTTGATCTCAGATCTGCAATGCCAGTTTTCGAGAAAACGAAAATGATTTAAAAAGATGGGTCAATTAAAAGTTTCGAAGGTCGTAGAAAATCCGATAAAGCGAAAAAGACTTGCGGAATATCCGGGCACACCGGGGAGTAGTCGTTCTATATTATTACCACTTTTTTGAAAATCTTTAAATTAATTCTCGAGAAACGTTGAAAAATTCTATGATATTGAGCAAAAGTTAACCAGATACAAAAAAGCAAAAGTGCCACCAAATAATGAGCACTTTTATTTGCGTTTTAGGTTGGAAAAAATGGTTACCGTAAAATTCCACTACGCTGCGCCATCAAAGGCATAAGATAGAAATTTTTTCAGCTGAATGAGATTGCCGATAAAAAAACGACTATCAATATACTCTCAAAAGCAAAAAAAAATTAGTAACTCTTCTGAGAAATGGCTTTTTTTGGAGTATACTATTCAAGCTCGAATTATGATCATACGCGCTCTACTATGATACATCATTTGACAGCGGACGTTCATTTGCATTGTCTGGATTTGCGTAGAGAAAAGACTGCAGTACAAAAAATTAAATTGCTTCTCAAGCTCAAACTACAAAACTAAATTCTGAGATTTGAAAGAACAAATACTTTATTTGCGCAAGAAACCTTATGTGCAGCTAGAAATGGTATTTTAAATCAATGGCTAAGGTCATTTTAGCTTTCAATCAAAATGAAGACCAACAAATTTCTTCAGAAAGTGACCTTATCACCAAAATTATAAATCAAATGAAAGACTAAAATTGCTAACATAGAAAAACCAATAATTAATTAAGTTTTTAAAAATTTTATATTCGGTTAATTCCCATAAGAATCGATGAAAACTGTGCACTTATTACTCAAATTAAAACAAATAAGTTCAGAGAAAAGGCATGAGACTCCAGATTAATTATATTCTTGCATTACAATAATTTTGACAGCTGGAGCCTCAAATTGATGTAACATTATCTCAGCTCAAATCAGTGATATTTCCTGGGCTTTTTTAAATATGAAATCTAGAACTAAAAGTGCGAATTATGAACAATTGAAAGTAATCGAAATCAAAAAAGGAAGAAATCAATTAACAGATGTTATAGAAAACAGAAAAAGAGTTCATTTCGCTTTTCAGTTCAGACAGATGTTTCCGATTGAAGTCTAAGGACAAATCTGCCCTGATTTTGGTCCATTGATTCCTCCCTTATATGAAATCTGGGTAGCTTGGCCACATAAATGACCAATGAGAGGGCATCTTGCCTCAATTGGAACACCAATCCCTCATGAATTCCTCTGTTAACCAGAGTATCCGTGATCAGTTCCCAATTCTGGAAAGGCTTTTGTTCCACTTCGCTAGTTATCACTGGACCTGGTGTCAGGTACTTCTCCAGAAAGGCTCTTGGGGTAAAATCCAGGGTAATACACCTGGCAAGGTGATCCTTTATTGCAACTAGTGAGTAGCAGTGCGTCTGTCGCGAGATCTTGAGGTACTTCTGAAGTGCTCGAGCCATGGAGGGGAAAATAGCCTCGGCCGCTTCTTCCGCATCCATTGGAACAGGCTGCTCGTCTTTGTCACTCGGCTCTGGTCGTTTGATGTGCATGAAAGCATCTTCGACCGCCTCGATCAATCTCGCACGTCGCTTCCTCAGCCTTCTATCGAAATCCTGCTCCTCGTAGAACCGTGTGTTCCTTCCTGAATCTCTGTTGCGAGCGGAAGCTGCAATCATTGCTTTCGAGTTTTCCATCACCGATGCCGCATCGCCCCCATTTCCATCTATATTGTACAGTTTGAACTGGGGGACACTTGTGCCCTTTTTTCCGGCGCCTGGAATCGACATGAGGTAGGGGTTGTATACTGGGAAGTCCTTATAGTACTTTTCCAGAACCCAGGCCGCGCAATGTTGCAGACTCATGTGCCCTACACTGTAGAACTTACTTTCTCCGTCTGTATTTCTGACTACCTTTATGATGTACTCTTTTTTCAAGTGTTTTATCTCAAGAACCACAACCGCCAAATAATGGATAAAAATGAGACAGTCACAAATTGAGAGCGAGAAATTCAGAATATGGTCATAATCTCGCACTTGAGCCTTCAAAATTTTGATGGCGTAGAACACCCACGCAATAGAGATGACAATAGCAACTATGACGAAAAGAAACGTCTTCCACAAGTTGATAGACGGCAATGTCGCCCTCGATTTCCTGAAAAATATTGCCCAGAGAGCCAAAAACAGAATCGCAAGTCGGAAGGCCAAGTTCAAGACTGAACCCAGACATGACAGAGAACACTCTTCGTCAATCCAGAGAATTTTAGGCAAAATTGCGAACACAACTGGGGTCAAAAGAGAAAACAAAACAAAGATGATTTGGACTGCAGGCTTCATGCAAAGGTCACAGCAACCTGGGGTCTGGTTTCCCATATAGTCATCTAGATACTCATGCTCTGCTGCTTGTATACGCAGCGGAATGTTTTCAACACTGCTGCTTTTATTGCTGGTAGCATCTGTAATGACTGTGTCTTTATCCCAGTTATTGTCCGAGTTTGCTCCTCCAGCACCGTCGCCGTTGTTTCCCTGTGTGCCCTTGAAATGTTTTAGACTTCGTCTGCCGACACTTCCACCTCCCAGACTACGAGTAGTAGACTTTTCTAGGATCTCAGAATCACTTTGACAATTACTCGGCCTGTACTTGTGCTTCTTCGACTTCTTAGGAGGTACATATGCATTCATCATAGGCGGGTTGTTTGGCTGCAGGAAACTGTTATTGGGGTTAAAATACTGCTGTTGCATATGTGGTGGCACTCCTTGCTGGTTTGGTATCTGATTAGATCCCATGCTTGCTTGCATGTTGTTCTGATTACCAGACATACCTTGCATCTGAGGCATCTGCTGATTTCCTGGCATTTGCTGCATCATATTCTGAGTAGGCGGAAGCATAGACATTTGCTGAGACTGTTGCATGCCAAACTGTTGTTGTTGCATAGGATCCCCCGTCTGCATTTGTTGTTGCATCTGGGCCTGCATCTGAGGTGTTTGGGGCACCCCTGGTGGCATCAACTCGGGAATCATAGTGTTGAATAGATGTTGGGAGTTGAAGGGTGCAGACCCGTTCACTTGATTAGTTATCATAGGCGTGTTGTGGTGATTATGATGGTGAGACTTCTTTTTGCTCATTCTTGATGACGAATCCACCGCGGAATCACTGTGGTATGGACTGATGTATTGAGATCTCTCGTTGACGAATTTGGGAACGTGATTGAACTGGTTCTGCATAGTTGCTATGGGCCCATTTAGATTTGATGTCATGTCGCCATACAGACCTGAAATATCAACAATTTACACTGTTCTAATTTGAAAAACTACTGATTAGGAGAGCATTATTTAGTATGAAAACACTTGAAATCAATCAAAATTCACAGAAGATAATTGCGGACAGGTTTAAATTTTACGGAGAAAGGTATTTTATTTAGCAACTAATTAAGACACTTCGAATTCAAAATCCGCACTATTGATGACGTAAATATTAATGATGCTCTATAAGACTGTATCATGTAGCCTTAAGTTATTCACGGATAACATTTTTCTGATAAATATTTATCCGATAAAACCGTATTAACTTCAAACTTTGACACGTCGTACCCGAAATGTCTGTAAATTACTCTTAATCCAGCTTAACATTTTCACTTTCTCATACACAGTCCTCCGTGATACTATGCTTGCATTGAATCAGACTTTACGAAATGTATTCAACTTTTGTGTTTGACTTTCATGAAATTTCAAAATTACCGATGATTTCCAATATATGATCCAAGTCACGTTTTTGAAACAGTAACGCAGTTGACCAATATTTGTACAAGTGGAACCTCGCTGAGGAAAAACCCGAAGCATCTTTTGCGTTTTCATGCCACTAGGCATGAATATTCATTCTTTGGTGCAATACATTTCGCAACATTATAAATAGGACCCGAAAATGAATGCAGTACAGAATATGTTGATCGAAATATACAAATTTGCATTATAGCAGTTTTTGGTTACTAAAATCAATATTTGGCGGGGCGGCTGATAGCAGCAAGAGCCCGGAAAACTTTTTAACCTAGGGAGCTGCAAAACACTAATGCATCCCAGTCTCGATTTTTTGTATAGTGATTACTCGAAAAAATTAGGGGTTATATAGGGCGAAGGGAAAAGAAAAAGGTCGACACCGCTTTCAATCTTTCCAAATATTCCACACTGAACAAGCGGAAGAGATTCTAAATTATTCATACTTATATCGCAAAGGCCACCAGAAGTTTAAACGAAAAAAGAAATTTAACAAAATTGAAACAAAAAAATGAAAATAGCTACAAATAATACGATATGAAGAACATAAGTCGGCTTTTCCTTGCCCCATCTGCAATTTTTTACACAAAACACTTTTGGTCACAACTTCCAATTTTTACCTCCCCCTCATTCCATTTCGCATATATATCAATTTCGTTGTGTAACGAGTGATTTTACAAGGCAAAATTTGATGATTAAATGAACCGCAAATCGGGCTATCCAAACTAATGTTTTTACACCAAATCTCGTAGAACTATTCGCTACACTGAAATGCCCCCTGAAAAATAAATATTTGCCCACTTGTTTCGATGGTTACAAAAAATGCTGTGACTGTGAAAGTTAATTAGTCGATGGTAGGCATCTTTGAACATCATACATAATATTGCAGTCACTGGACAAAAAAGTTTTTTTTTATTGCAACAAGCATTTTCTTCACGTTTTTGCAGTTTTGTCTGCAAATTTTTAGGTTATAGGGTTGAAACTTTGACTCAGGCTAGATGAAACTATTTTACAGGAGCTACCCGCATCCAACTTTGGAAAAATAGTGTTTTGAAGGCGTTTAATCGCCAGTGCAGAATAACTAATTTCAAAGCAGTTTCTTTTTCTGTTGAAAACTCCTCGTGAAGAACACAAGTAATTAAAATTTATGGACTCAAATTTGTTTTTTGGAAAGCTGAAGAGCTTGATTGTTTCATTATGCAGTGGAAAAACGACTAATTAACTATAAACAATTTTGCGCTGATGATTGAAACAAGCTAACAAAAAAACTGTTCCACCTTACTTTTTTGAAAAAATGTCTACTCCGATCCATAACTAGGATTCTCACAAGCAGTTTTGATGCCTCTAACTTTTATCCATTTTTCCTGGTATTAGCGCCTAAGACCTTCTAATGTCTGTATCGTCAAAACAGGTAAAACCGTTTTTTGACGCCGGACCAAGTAACTCTTTCAATTTTTTTGAAACGTTTTTCCGCAGCCGAAGAAACAGTCGAGCTCATCAGCTACCCAAAGAGCTAATTTGAGTCCTTAAATTCAAATTACTTGGGCTGTTTGCGAGGATTTTCCTACAGCAATAACGCCTTTGAAACTAATTATGATGTGCTGACTATTTAACGTCTTCAAAACAACATTTCTCAAATTTCGATCCTTTCAAATTGTTTTATATATCATGTTTCAGCACTTCAACTTTAACTAATTGATTTTTTTTCTCAAAATATGGTGGGGGAAGACCTGAGACAAGCATAAACGTGCGTTATCTCATGGATAGTTGCAGAGAAAACTACAAAAATGTTAAGAAAAAATCGTTCATTTTCTCGTTGAAATCAAAAAATTGCAAGAAACGTTTATGTCCTGTAACTGTGACACCACTCGTTAAGCCATAAAAATAATGTTCAAGTCAGGCAAAGGGAAGTACACAAAATCAAATCACATTTTCTCTTCATGCCTTGCATCAAAATATTTGCATGCATTTAGCCAAAACATCACTTGAAATACCGCAAAAAACTAACATTGCAATCTAACAGACGGAAAAAAAAACCATGGCCTTTAGGTAAAAAAAAATTCAATTAGCTGACAGCAAAAAATTTTCAGGAATTATGTTATTTTTGAGGAAAATACGCCTAGAAACACAATAGCCGTTGTTAAATCAGCATTGAATCCTAGCCCGGATTAAAAACAAGTTCTAACACAGAGGCGAAGCAGAACGTGGTGAAATAATTAGACAATCTTTCAGCAGACACAAGAACCGAAAACAAAACAGATTGTTTTTTTAAATATTCAAGTCTTAAAATTCAAAAGAGCAAGTATTTTGTAAGAATAGTTGTTTACGAGAAAGAAAAAGTCTAGTTTTCGGTTACAAGACACTTGATTTCGCAAGTTTAAAAATATCAAAAATTGATACTTTCATAAAGGGTAGCTGAGATCTTGCATCTTGTCTGAAGTGGTTTTAAAATTTTAAAGAAAAAACCTCGATTTGCGTTTAATTTTGCCTTGTGTTAAATTACACATTCTACATTTGCAATACTTTACGACCTACACTAGAGGAATAAATTAAACAGAAATTCAGGTTTTCACCATGCAAATTGCCATTTTGCCTCTTATTGAGTTTCCCATCCTTCGTAAAATCACAAAAAAAATCTGTTCAAAAATTGTTCGCTTTGCATGTAAAAAAAACCTGTTCACGCTGACAGTTTAATGCAGTTAAAAATATGAAAAGTCATTTTAAATTGATTTTCATATAATGAATTTCAGAACCTGAAAAAGAGCCGCCAATTTCATTCTCAGTTTCGGACATCATTTTGTGAGATTCTGGCTCTTTTCCAGACTTGTTCTTCATACTCTAAATCGTAACATCACGCATTCAGTTGAAATAAACGTAAAGCAACTAAGAATATGGAAAATTTGAAACGTGGGGGGAGGGAAAAAGAGTCTAGATTCTGTTCAAAAACGTTACTGAGACTGACAAAAAATAATCAAAGCTAACTTCTATGCAGTATCAAAAAATAATTCCATGGCTCTAGTCCACTCCGCCTACTTTAGTTTCAACTTTGAAAAAGAGGCGAAGCTGCGCTTCGCAAAAACTTGCGAGAAAACGAACAAAAAGCAGCTCTATTAAGTGAAATTAAAAAAAAAGTAGAAATAAGACTCGAATTAGCAAAAACTCGGCTGTGTAGGATTCGAATCAGCAACCTATTGTAATCAAGAGAACTTGAGTCTCACGCACTGTCCACTCAGCTTAACAACCGACAAACACTAGCCACGAATAAAGCAGCTACATATGCTAATAGCTGGCCAATGCGATTCAGCAAAAGTGGCACCAAATAAAAATAGACTCAATTTTGCATTTAATAATTTGGAAAATAACAAACTGAAGGCAACCACACTAACTTTGCATGTAACAAATCGCAAAGCATAGAGCCACATTATGTATAAATTATGCATTTGAAAAAATTGCGAGATACTGAGAAAATTTCTGAAATCGAAATTTCATTATTGTTATGATGTTTGAAACAGATCATTTTTTTCGGTTCGATTGATGAATTAAAAATGCATCAGTTGTGTTAACTTATAACTATTCGAATGTCAAAGCACATGCTATCATAAAGCTGTAAAAGTGCCCCACCATTATTGGGGTGGCCGCACCATAAAGGTGTCGCACCAATATTTGCGACTTAGATTGGAAAAAAGAAGGTCCGTAGTAATACACTCGCTTCGCAAGTGTAAAAACGGCTTCCATGCTAAAAAGCAACTTGGCACTGTGAACAAACTTACAATGGTAAACAAATTTGTTCTTCAAACTTTCAGACATCGTCATATGTCGCATTAAACCATTATAACAGGTAAAACAATTATAACAGAGAGGCAAAGTTGCACTTTGCATACAAAAGCAAAAATATGACCGATAACGCTACTGGGAAAAACTGAAGGAATAAAACTTTGAGTCTACAAAAGTTCTTAAGAGACGCACGCCAATTATGAGTCTACATAACTGCCAAGAGACCCAAGCCAATTATAACGCATTAGCAGTACCAGTCAATTTGAAAAAAAAAAGACATTTACCAATTAACATGCTTCAATTTATAGAGCGTACGCATTATAACTAGTATACGAAAAATTTCATTAAAAAACATCCGAACCTGCCCAGGTTCGAACCCTCTTATTTTGCTGCGGGTCTCCTTCCCTACCTCTACGCTACATATTTATGATACCTTGAAGCTAAAGTGCTATTTGTATTATAATAGTCTGTGTTAATATCCTTAGCAAGGGCTGTACTTATTAGCTGGTGATTAATCAAAATGAACACTTTCAATATGAACACATTTTGTCGGGGAACAGTATTTGCGACGCAACAATATTTGCGACTTAGGTTGGAAAAAAAAGACAGTTCATACTATGACACAAGCTTTGCTTGTGTAAAAATAGATACCTGAAAGGTTGAGAGGAGAGGAAAAGAGCCAATTTCGTTAGCAGTTTTTGGGGGTCAGTTTTCACCACTGCA